AGTATCTACCAATTCCTCTAACTAGGACAGGATTTCGGCTGCAGTGGGGCTGCCCCTTCTTGGACTTTTTTGCCTTCTTCACCTTACCCTTTTTACCAGTACCACTGGCAGAAGTCTTCTGGGCTTCAGGTTTCTTCTCTTTAGTGTCTGGCTTCTCAGTTTTTTCACCCGCCATCTTGCAAGATGGGAAAGAGCCTACTTTGTCTTTATTTTGCTTTTTGGAGCAAAATTTAAAAGTTCTCATTTTTGTAATACTTTTTTTTTTTTTTTTTTCAATGCTCAGGATTAAACTCAGGGCCTTCACATTAGGCTATGTCTCCTGTCCTTTTTAAAAGAGTTTTACTTTGAGACAGAGTCTTGCCCAGTTATCCGAGCTGGGCTCACACTTGTGATCTTTGTGTCTCAGTCTCCTAGGTTGCTGCAATTGCAGGAAGGGGCTGCCTAGTCTGTGATGTACTGTTATAGCTGACAGGTACAGCTGTCTTTTTTGACTGTCCTGAGCCATCTGTTTCTCTTTCTTTCTTTAAAAAATTATTTATTTATTTTGTGTGTGTGTGGCCAGCTCAGCCCCCCGGGGGGCGGGGCTGGCGGGCATGTGGTGCTGGGGGATTGAACCACGGTCCCTGTGTTTTGCTTAGTTTAGCTTGTTCTAAGTAGGTGCTTTAGACCACTGAGCCCTCTCACCAGCCCTGTTTCTCTTTCTGATGATATTATTATCCCATCAAACAAAAAAGATGATTAAAAACTGTGCAATAAATAATGAAAATACCTTGCTGAGACTTGGATTTTTCAGTAATTTAGTTATGTGACCAGCATGTTGACCCAGTTTATTTATCTATTTATTTATTTATTTTTTTTTTTATTTTTTTTTTTGCGGAACCGGGGATTGAACTCAGGCCCTTGCGCTTGCCAGGGAAACGCTTATTCCACTGAGCTATCTCCCCGGCTATTTTTTTTTAATTTTTATTGTGGTAAAAATATATTCTTTTGGGTGGCCATGCTGGAGATCAAATTCATGGCCTTGCACATGTTAGGCAAGTACTCTCCCTCGGAGCTACACCTCAGCTCTAAATTTACCATTTTATTTATTTATTTATATGTATGTATGTATTGTGCATTTTGGATCAGTATATAGCTTGTCATGTAGTTTAGGCTGGCCTTAAACTTACTGTGGAGCCCAGGCTGGCCTCAAACTTGCAGCCATCCTCCTGCCTCAACCTCCTGAGTGCTCAGATTACAGGTATGAGCCACCACACTCAGAAATTTTACCATTTTAAAGTGCACAATTCAAGTTGGGCATGGTGGCACATATGTGTAATCCCAGAACTCTGGGAAGCTGAGGCCAAAGGATTCTAAATTTTTTAAAAAATTAATTTATTGAGAAAGAAATAGCTATGAGACAGTTTCAAAACAGGTTAGTAGGACAGCTACAATAATTCGTACATTGTATATTGTTGTCTTCATAGTAGTTATTCATAGTACAAGATGCAGACGTGATATCTTGCCTAAACACTATTAGTACAAATCTTCTCATTGAACTAAGAGAAAGTAGATGTATATCTATCCTATTTTGCATATACATATCTATATATTTTTCTTTTTTCACTACAAAATGGTCCTTCATTTATATCCTCCTTTTTTGTTTAGCTAGGATTTTAAATTTGAGCCTAGCCTAAGCAACTTAGTGACCTTGTCTCAAAACAAAATATTGTAGCTCAGTGTGAAGGCTCTGGGTTCAATCCTTAGTACAGCAAATAAATAATAAAGTACATATTTCAGTGGCATTGAGCACATTCACAGTGTACTATGACCATATCTCCTGCCAGAACTCCTCATTCCAAATGGAAGCTCAACCTACTTGTATTTATCCTCCAACCCTCATTCCTTCAGTTCTGTCTGGGTCACCTTTCCATTTTCTGTCTCTCTGAATTTGCCTATTCTGATACCTACACTATTTTCCCTCTGTGCCTGGCTTATTATATTGAACAATATTCTGGAGGTTCTCAGTGCTGTAGCATATATCAGAACTTCTTTTATAGGGCTAAAATTCTATTGCATCTATACCGGTATGTATAGGTCATGTTTCCTTTGTTTGATGGACACTTAGGATTGTTTTTATCTTTAGCTCTTATAAATTATGCTTCTGTGAATGTGGATGTAAACTTGTTGTTAGGAACTTGTTTGAGACTACACACTGTTCTAACTGAAGGCTACTTGTTATCATCACACACCCATTAGGATGGACAAAGTCTGAACATGGACAGCAGGAAACACTGGCGAGGATGTGAGGCAGGAGAAATGCTTACTCCTGACGGTGGAAGTGGAAACCAGCACACTGGAAGGCACCACCCAGCAATTATGCTGTGCACTCAAAGGAGTTGGAGACTTACATTCACACAAAAAACCTGTACGTGGATTGTGTAGCAGTTCAATTCATAACTGCCCAAACTCAGTAGGTAAATGGATAACTGTAGTCTATGCAGACAATACAATATTACACAGTGCTAAAACAAAATAAGCTATCAAGTCATTAAAAGACATGGAGGAAACTGAAATGCATATAACTGAGTGAAGGAAATCAATTGTAAAATGCTGTATACACGAGTCCAAAAATATGACATTCTGGAAAGCGCAAAGCTATGGAGACAGTAAAAAGGTCAGTGACTTCCAAAGTTGGGAGGAGGGAAAGATGAATAGGTTACACACAGGATTGTTAGGACAATGAAACTTGAATTCTGCATGATACGGTAACGGAAAATATGTCACTACACATATAAAACATACAACATCAACAGTGAACTCTAGCTATGGACTTTTATAACAAATGGACACTCTGGTGTGGGCTACTGAGGGTGGGGGGGGCTGTGTGTATAGGGGGATGGGCATGAGTGAATTTGCTGTACTTTCCATTCAAATTCTGCTACAAAATTAAAGTAAAGATTCTTCATGCAAGATGAGTAAGTTTGGAGAACTGTTAAAACAATGTGGACTATAATTACCAACATTGTATTGTAGTCTCAACATACAATGATGGGAACTACGTGAAGTGATGAGTACATTAATTTGTTTGCGAACATTTAATAATTATATATTTAGTTACTGAGTTGTACATCTTAAATACACAGATAATGAACTTTTTGTCTTTTTTGGAGAGTTGCCCTATGTAGCCCAATCTGGCCTTAACTTCACTATGTAGCCCAGGCTGGCTCTGAACTCTCAGAAATCCTCCTACCTCAGCCTTCAGAGCGCTGAGATTACAGGTGTGTGTCATCACGCCCAGCCAGATAATTTTTATATTTGGCTGATCACAATGTACGCTTTATGTACGCTTTATAGTGTAAATCAAGTTGAACATCTTAAATACATACAGATTTTATAATAGTTGACTACACCTCAATAAAGCCAGGTATAGTACAATTATAGGTGATACTTCCTTTCCTGTACACAGTTGCTCATTTAAATACTTATAATAGACACGTATAATTTTTACAAGCTAAGCTTTTGAAAATTCACAAGCCGCCTTGCAAAAATTGCAGTCCAGGCCAAGGGATTACCGTGGAAAACGCTCCTTCGGCCTTCTGAATAAGGCATAGACTTTTCACAGAGTCCCTAACAGCGTAGCTAGAAGGTTTCTGGGAAATGTAGTCCCAAAGGCTACCTTAGGGCCCCACAGAGGACTCTGGGAACGCCGAGCAGCCTTCATCTCTGCGCATGTGCAGTGGTGCAAGCGCGCCAGTGGCCGCCCTTCCCCCACATGCTACCGCTAGTCGGTGACAGGGACCCCTTCTCTGCTCTTCTCCGCCGCCCCGCGCCGTGACCTGGCCTGGCACGGCGCCACGAGTGGAGGTTGTGCCCTTGAAGGTATGAGAGAAGATTGCCAGTCAGCTCTCTGCGGCCTGGCGCTCACGGGCAAGAGATGAGGGATGGGTTCGTGCCCGAGCGGGCTGGGAGCCCAAACTTAGACTCGCGGGCTGTGGTGACCCTCGGGGCGGCTTCCGGAGCTGCCTGGTGCCCTTCTCCGAGTGGAGTTCAGCGGGACCTTTCGGCCAGCTGTGCGGGCGCGGGGGAGGGCGGCCGCGAGCGCTTTGCTTCCTGTCTTTGTCAGGAGACGCGCCTGCGAGGGGCGGCAGGCTCTAGGGCCGCGCGGGAACGAGTCGCGAAGGCCGGCGGGTGCGCGCCTGACCCCGGCCGGCGGGGTGGGGCGGGGGCGGGGGCGGGGCCGGCCACGGGCGGCCCCGCCTCGCGTGTGTCCTGCGGCGCGGTCCTGGTGGGCGGTACCTGGTGTCCCCAGGGTGAGCTCTCTTCAGTACACTTGTAAGCCTCGCATCGACCCCGTGATTTCCGGTATGATTATCTCCGTAGTAACACGATTCAGAGAGAAGTGACTCCCAGAGGTTACACAGCCAGCTAGTACTTAAACACAATTTTTTTTTGGCGGAATCGGGGATTGACCTCAGACCCTTGCGCTTCCAGGCAAGCGCTTATTCTACTGAGCTATCTCCCCGGCCCAAAACACAAATATTTTTAAATGTGTTTTGATTTGCTCCCTGGTAGTTCTTTTCTTTTTAAATTTTATTTATTTATTTGGTACAAGCCTTACTTACTATGCACCTAGGACTCATAGTGATCCTCGTCGCAACCTCCCCAGCTCTGGGATTACAGGCGTGCACCACCACACCTGATTTCGGGGCTGGGGTCCCTAGCCTGGCGCAACCTGCGCTACCACCGATCGAACCCGGGTTCTTGTGCTTGCCAGACAGGTGCTTAGACTGCTGAGCCTCAGCCTCCCTGATCGTTCTCGACATGCACACGTTTTTGTATTTTTTATATTGCTCTATTGCTGAATTTATTGCTCTTTTGTGGCACCCCAAACCTTCACCACTTTGTGGTTATACAAATTTTTCTACAGCAGGACACAGTGGCACTTGCCTGCAACCCCAGCTACTTAGGAGGTTGAGGCAGGAGGATCACAAGTTGGAGGTCAGCTGGGAAATCTAGTGAGACCCTATCTCAAAATCAAAAGGGCTGGGAGATGTGGTATAGTAGTGGAAAGCTCGCCTCTCTTTTGCAAGGCCCTGAGTTCACTTCCAGCTAGGAAGGGAAGAAAGGTTTTTTCCTATGGTACTTTGGAATCTTTTTTTTTTTTTTTCCCCAATGATTCAACAGTTGTTGATACATGTGTTTTGTTCCCACTAATGGTTACTTTAAATTAGGGATAATGGACACCTTTGTGGTCTTAAGTCTTTCAGTAAGACTCAAGAAAAAAAATGGGATGGGATTCCCCCGAAATGAGTTTTTGGGGCTCCCCTCTGTGGCTTGAGATTGGCTGGTATTGGATGTGAGCTAGCAACGGCAGGTGACAGAGGCAGAAGGAAGCAGAAGCAGAGAGTGGCTTGGTGAGGGAGCTCGAAATCTGGACGGGGAGTTTCCCGGGAACTACACGACTCACCGATCCAAGTCACAGCACCATTAAATGTCAAGTCTACTCAGCAGCGATGGCAGCGGTGGCAGTGGTGTGGCAAAGCGACAGGAAAGATAAAAGAGGCTTTTATTGTGGCAAAGGATGGCAGGGCGAGGGACCCAAGAATCTTTAGGGGCAGACTGTGGACGGTAGCTGCATTTATAGTTCTCCAAAGGGGCAGGACCTTGGGAGGTGAGGTGATGACGTTGTGATGACTCGTTGGAGATCATCTTGGCATGCTGTGGAAGGGATGGAGTGCTGGGAAGAAGCAGGGCAGTTCATCTGGGCTCATCGCCGGCTTGTGGAGGTGCTGTGGTGACTCAGCACATGTGCTCGCTCCCTGGTGCCAAAGCCCCAGTGAAATCTCATTGAGATGGATTTGCCTTATTGTGATTTCTATCTGGAACTGAGGAAAAGAACCTCAGATTGATTAGTAATACTATAGTCTTTATATTTTGTCTTACTTGTCTTTTACTTTATTACCACTAGCAGCATATATATATATATATATATATATAATTTATTTATTTTTGTGTTGGTACTAGGGGAAAGAACTCAGGGCCTTTACACTGAGCTACATCTCCAGACTTTGTTGTTAATTAATTAATTTATTTGGTCTTTTTGACACAGGATCTCGCTATGCTGTTCAGGCTGGCCTTGAGCTCACTTTGTAGTCTAGGCTGGTGTTGAATTCTTAACAATTCTCCTGCCTCAGCCTCCCAAGTGCTGGGATTACAGGCATGCTCTACAATGACTGGCTGTTTTTATTTTTTATTTTATTTTTATGTATTTAGTACAGAGTCTACAGGGTCTCACTACACAGATCAGACTTATAGTGATCCTCCTGTTTTCAGCCTCCCAAGTGCTGGGATTGCAGGCACACACTCAGTTACTGGCTCAGTGTGCCCTGGGGGGTGGCCTGCTCTGCTCGCCAGGACTTGAGCCCTGGCCCCTCCATCTGCCTAAGCAGGCACTTTAATCCACTGAGCTATCTGGCTGGCTGTTTTTACTTTTTTTAAGTTTTGAGTTAGAGTCTCATTAAGTGGCTAAATTGCCTAGGTTGCACTTGAGCGTGTGATCTTCCTGCCTCAGCCTCAATTTTTTTTTTTTTGAAAAGGGATTATTGTTTTGTAAGAATATATACTGAATGAGGGTGGGAGTAGGATGGTGGGTGAAGGTCAGGATAAAGTAAGTTTTAGCACTCCAGAAGGCTGAAGCAGGAAGATCACAGATTCAAGCCCAGCCTGTGTAACTTATATATAACACATCTTAAAAGTTTTTTTTAAAACCCTTTCCCATTCCTCCTTCTGCTCTCCTTTTCTTGATCCTCTTTTTATTTGCAAAACATCTTGTCTTCCTCCACTTTCTTTTTTTTTTTTTGGTAATCGAACTCAGGACTTTCACTTATGTCACTGAGCTATATTCCCTGTCCCTGTTTTCTTTTACCTTTCATTTCGCTTTTTATTTACACTTTGGGTTTCTCCTATAAGAAACCTTTCAGGCAAGCACTTATTCTACTGAGCTATCTCCCTGGCTCCTAAGAAACCATATTTGAGCTTGTATACCTGATTTATTCCACTCAGTATTATCTCACGGTGCATCTGTTTTCCTACAAATGACTCAAATTTATCTTTCTTTAGAATAGTACTCCTTTGTGTATAAATTCCACATTTTTTTTGATGTGTTCATCTGTTGATGAGCATACTTTTCACTTCCAAGATTCAACTATTATGAATTGTGCTGCTACAAATATGGGTATGCATGTATCACTGTAATATGACATCTCTAACTTTTTCTGGAACATACCTAGAAAGGGACTAGTTGGGTCAAATAGAGTTTCAGTGCTTAGTTTTTTTTTTTTCAAAATTTAGTGCTTAGATTTTTGAGGAGTCCCCATACTGATTTTCATAGTGATTGTAGTAGTTTATATTCCCACCAGTAGTATAGAAGGGATCCTTTCCCCCTGCAGCCTTACTGTCATTTGTTATTATTTGATTTCTTGGTGATAGTCATTCTTTCTAGACTAAGATGGAATCTCAGTGTTGTTTTGTTTGCATTACTTTAATGTTCAGAGATGTTGAACATTTGTTCAGATTGAGATTTAGGTCCTTCTTTACCTATTTGTTTTAGTGTTTTTATCATGAATGGATATTGGACTTTGTCAAAGGTTTTTCTGCATCTATTGAGATGATCATGTGATTTTATTTATCCTTATTTCTGTTTATGTAATGTATACATCTATTGATTTGCATATATCAAACTATCCTTGCATCTCTGGGATAAATCCTACTTGGTCATGCTGTGTAATTTTTTTTTTTTTTAATGATTTGTTGGATTGTGTTTGCTAATATCTTGTAGAGGATTTTTGCTTCTCTGTTCATTAAAGAGCCTGGACTTTAGGGTTTTTTTTTTTTTTTTTTTTTTTTTTTTCCGATTAGGTACTTTTTTCAATTTTTTTGTTTTAAATTTATGAATTTTGTGCAGGGTCTTACTATGTAGCTCAGACTTGTAGTGATCCTCCTATTTTTGAACTTCCCTGCGGTGGGATTACAGGTGTGCACCATCACACCCAGACTCTGGGCTGGCACAGTGCACCCCAGGGCGGGCTGGCATGGCATGCAGTGCCAGAGATCAAACCCAATACCTGCACTTGCCTAAGCAGGCACTTAGTCTGCTGAGATATTTTGCTGGCCCTCTTTTCTGAATTTTGAATCAAGATAATTCTAGCTTCCAGGAATGAGTGTGGAAGTAATGTTTCTCTTTTTAATTACATCAAAGTGTTTGAAGACTATTGATATATCTTCCCTGAAGTGTTTTGTTGAATTCAGTGGTCAATCTATTGGGAACTGGGCTTTTCTTATGTAGTAATGTTTTTTTTATTATTATTATTATTATTATTATTATTGCCAGTTTTATTGCCTGTTACTGGATTTATTCAGAGGTTCTTTGACATCTTGGTTCAGTTTTGATAATTCATATGTGTCTAGGAATCTTTATTTCTTCAAGAGTCTCCAATTGATTGTAGTATAATTTCTTGTAATAGTTACTAATGATCTGGATTGCAGCAGTGATGTCTTTCATGACTCATCAAGTGTTCAGGAGTATTATTTAATGTCTAAGTGTTTGTGAAATTTCTGTTGTTTCTTTTGTGTTTGTTTTCTAGTTTCAGTGCACTATGATCTGATCGTATACACAGGGTGATTTTGATTCTTTTTATTTCTGCAGGTTTTATGAACTAGTAGGTGGTCTATTTTGGAGAAAGTTCCATGTGTTGTTGGAAAGAATTTATATTGTGTACAGTAGGACGGAATACTCTGTAGATATCTATTTAATCAACTTATTGAGGGAGTGGTTCAGTTCTGGTATGTCTTTGTTCACTTTTTGTTTATTGTGAAAGGGGTGTATTGAGGTCAGTCTCTTTGATTATGTTTGTTTCATGAAGTTAAGTTCATACATATTTACAATTGTTACTTCTTCATGCTTTGTCTTGCCCTGTTCTGCTTTCAGCTTTTCTGAATGCTTGTACATGTCTCACTCAGCATATCCAGTTGCGAGGTTAGAGTGGTTCTGAGTCTATTCTATCAGCCAGGCCATCGCTGAAGATCCAGCTCTGTCTTTTAATCCAGACCTCTCCCAAAGTGACATGTGTGCCAGATCTGGGGTGCTGTGATCCAGGAGTGGTATGTGTTCTCTTCACTCACCTGCTAGACTTTGGATTTTGATCCAGCTAGATTCTCTTTTCATCTGTCCTCCTATATCAGACATTATTTTTCACTCCCACCTCGAAGTACCTGTGTTTTTTCAGCGCCAATTTGGAGACACCCTTGCTGTCACCCTGTAGGTGGCAATCTTATCTCCTGCTTCTATTTTTCTTAACTTTATTCTTGGTACTTTTAGTATTACATTGCTCTTGGAGGTGGAAATTTGCCCATTAGTTTTTTCTCTTGCATTTATTAGTTTTCCAACAAATTTCCATTTTTAAAATTTTATATATTTGAGATTTTTTTTTTTCTTCCACCTCTTTTGGTTAACTTAACTAGTGATTTTCTACTCTCTCTGTTTGTGTATGCACCTGTGTGTGTTACTGCTGATTGAACTAGAATACTGCATCACTGAGCTACATCCCCAGCCCTTTTTATTTTTTGAGACAGGCCTCACTTAGTGCCTCGAACTTAAGATCTTCCTGTCTTAGTCTCCCAGAATGTTGGAATTACTGGTGTACACCACTGTACCTAGCTTTGTGTGTTTATGTTTGTGTGTGTGTGTGTGTGTGTGTGTGTGAGAGAGAGAGAGAGAGAGAGAGAGAGAGAGAGAGAATTTGGTTAGAAGTTTATTGGGATTATTGAACTTTTCAAATACTAGCTTTTGTATTCATTGCATATCTTTGTTGTTTTCCTGTTTCCAATTTTATTTATTCTTGACCTTTTATTGATGATTTCTTGCCTTATGTTTGCTTTGAGTTTAATGTGTGTACTTTTTTCCTGATTCCATAGATTGAAAGGTTTGTTTATTGGTATAAATAGTTTACTGCTGTAACTGTTCTTTTTTTTTAACTTTTATGTATACTTTATTGGAATGTACTTAGAAGTCTTAGAAACTCTTGAAAGGCAAGATGCAACTTTTAAACATTCCTGTAAAATACATGTTTTATGGTCCTAACATGATCATTTTCCACATTAAAATCATTAACCAATTATCACAAAATATCTATAACTATTGTTGGAACGGGAAAGACAAAGACATTAAAAAAACTGTGATATATATCATACCATAAAAATGATAAATTTTAAATTTGCCGTTGAAGTAATGCTATAATTTTATTAATAAATTGTTTCTGCCTTCTAACTGTTCTTTTTTTTTTTGTGGCCTGCTCAGCCCAACCTGAGGGAGGACAGGCGCAGCATGTGGTGCTGGGGATTGAACCATGGTCATTGTGTACCTAAGCTTGCCTAAGCATGTGCTCTAGACCGTGGGGCCATCCTGCCTGCCCTGTAACTGTTCTTCTAAATACTACTATAAGTGCTCTGTCACTAGCCTTGACCTTGCTGTGTAGCCCAGATGGCCTCAATTTTTTTTTTTTTTTTCTTTTTGAGCCAAGGTCTCATTATTCGGTTCAGGCTGGCCTTGGACTTGCAGTGATTCTTCTGCCTCAGCCTGCCGGTGCTGGGATTACAGATGTGTGCTATCATGCCAGTGGGCCTCAATCTTGAAATCCTTCTGCTTGAGTTTCCTGAGTACTGGGATTACAGGCATATACCAGTATGCCAGGCTCCTCAAGTTTTTAGAAGTTTCTCTTCTGGCTTAATTTTTCACCCTTTGGCTATGTAGAAATATATTGCTTAGTTTCCAGATTTTTTTTTTCAGAGCTTGTATTTTGTTGATTGATAGTTTAATTCTGATTTGGTTAAAAATATACTCAGTTACAAATTTCAGTTCTTTTAAATGTGTCATGGAAAAAAAAAATGTGTCATGGTCTTTTTATGGCCAAGAAAATTTTCTCTTTGGGTACATGTTTTATGTTTTTTTAAGTAGAAGTTACATTGCTATGGGTGATGGAATTGCTCATAAATGTTAATTGAGCCAGGGTGGGTTTATCTTTACTGCCTTTTTTAATCTACTTATTCTGTCAATTATTGAGAGAAAAATATTGAAATGTCCAACTGTCATGTGCATTTATCTATTTTTTCCAGTTTTATCAATTTTTGCTTGTGTTTTGAGTGTTATGTCTTGATGATTTGACATTTATTATTATTATTTTTGTTTTGTTTTTTGATGGAAGCGGAGATTGAACTCAGGTCCTTGCACTTGCCAGGCAAGCGCTTATTCTACGGAGCCATGTCTCTGGCCCCTGACATTTATTATTATGTGATATCACTTTGTTTCAGATTTACTGAAACTACCTCTGTTGAGTCTACTAATGAAGCTGTTGAAGATATTCTTTCATTTGTTGCTATGCTTCTCTTAGCATGTGCTTGATTTTTTTTCCATCTTGCTGAAAATTCCGTTTTTATTCATGTTGTGTACCTTTTCAGTTAAAATACATGAATCATAGTTATTTTAAATTTCCTTATGTGATAATTTCAGTAGTTGAGAGTTCTGTTGCTTGTCTTTTGTGTGTTGTCTTACCTTTGCCTTTTTGGATGTCTCATGATGTTTTATGGAAGGTATGTATTGCCAATTGTAATCCTTTTTTTTTTTTTCTAAAGGAACTGTCTCAGGAATTGGATAGATGATATATAGGGATTTCTAAACATGATACTCTAGGTTTTTGCGGTAGGTCAGATCTTTAATAACAATAACAATGCTTTTGTTTTTCCTCTATTCCAGTTCTGCCTTTATAGTTCTCTGCCTCTACTAAAAAACTGCAGAAAATGAACAAATCCCAGGTGAGTTTATTTTTAGTGCATTTGTGGAAGTTTATATGGATCTAGAAAATGAAGCAAAAAGTGTAAGTGAAAAAGAAAAAAAAGTATAAGTAGTTAAATTCAAGAAAAACATAGTAAGAATAGGTCATCAGTATCAGCAGCCTAAAAGCAAACTGTCTTAATTACTTTTTTGTTACTGAAACAAAATACCCAACACCCAGAGTTAAAGAGGAGAGGTTTATTTCAATTCACAATTTATAGAGGTTTCAATTTATAGTTGGCTGACTCCAAGGCAGGATGTGTGGCAGAAGACAAACAGTCCATAGCAAAGCAGGCAGGAAGCTGCAAAGCAGCCAGCAGCCAGCCTCTCTTTTTATCCCATCCAGGATACCAGCCTTTTGGGTGGTGCTACCTGGAACTATGCTAATTTTAATCTGTGGATTAATTTAGTATCACATACACTTCATCCCAGTATCAAGGCTTTGGGGGGACATTGAGAGATAAGCCATAATGCAAATTAATTGGCTTGTGTCCATCCTGAATATCAATTCCTTAGATCTTCCTCTTTTTTTTTTTTTTTTTTTTGTGGTACCAGAAATTGAACTCAGGACCGTGCACTCACCAGGCAGGCACTTACTCCATTGAGCTATCTCCCTGGCCCCTAATTCCTGAGGTGTCTAATTAGGTCTGAGTCATTTTTATAGACTTTCATAGAGGTGCCAGTTTAGGATAGTGTCTCCAGGAACAATCAAAATTAAATAAGTTATCATTTTGTCTAATATTGTTTTATGTTGTATTCTTGAATGTAAGTGTAGGGTATTGTATTTGGTTTTTCAGTCAGGTTAGCATGATGTCAGAAACTCATTAGATATATGGATATGTATTTATGTTTTACCCCTATTTCCCACAGGTAGAGTTGTCATTACTTTTTCTAAATAGCTTTCTAGAGTTTATTTATATATTTACACATATAAATAGACGATAGCATGTGTCAGAAATTTCAAATTGATTCAGCAGTACTCTGCTAGTCAATATCTAACATATTGCCATATTTCCACTTTTATTTGGGCAGTATTGGGGATTGAGCTCAGGGCTTCACACTGAGCTATATTCTTAGTTTTCTAGTTTTTGAGATGGGATTTTGCTAAATTGCTGAAGCTGGACTCAAACTTGCAGTCCTCCCACCTTAGCCTCTCAGAGTGCTGGAACACAAATGTGTGCCACTATGGCCCCGTCACTTCTGCATATTACAGTTATTCAATTTCTTTAATATTACACAAATCATATGTGATCTCAGTATCTTTCTCACTATCTCATGGATCTGCACTCCCTTGCATGCTCTTTCATTTGATGTCATCTTATTAAACATTCCTTGCCTGAGATGTACCAGTGTAAGTTTTATGAGTATATCCACTTTTCCGAGTTACTTTCCTTGTCACTGGGACACATTATCTGATACAAACAAATGAAAAGAAGAAAAGTCTATTTTGACTCTGAATTTGTAGAGGTTTCAGCTCATAGTCAGCCATAAGCCTCATAATCCAGTCATCTTCGAAAGCCTCGCCTGTGATCACATGAAGCTTTAGGGAGACATGTAGATATAAATCATAACACCATTCCTCTTTTTAAGAATATTTTTGTGTGCATTAATAGAACTATATAAAATTCTGAGGTCACATTATACACTTTTTAAAAAAAATTCTGTTGAGCTTTTACTTTTAGGCTTTGTGTTAAACTTAACTCTTGTAAAAAGTATTTTTTTTTCTTTTAAAAACAATTCTAAATGTCTTAGTTTTTTTAGTAAACATTGATACCCCCATGCCCCATACCCAGGGCCTCTGCATTTTGCTATATCCTCTACCCTCTCCTCCTTTTTCTTTTTCAAACAGGGTCTCACTAAATTGCCCAGACTGGGCTTACTCTTGATGTCCTCCTGCCACAGCCTCCTAGAGTGCTGTGATTATAGGTTTGTGCCACCACCCTTGGCTGTGATTATTGAGTTTCTTGATCCACTTTACCTGTCTGCCAGAAGTCAGAATATTTTCATCTTTTATATATTTATTATATTCTTTTTCAGTGTTTATTTAAATGTATATTTTTAAACAAAGTTTAATGAGGATTTATTTTCCACTAGAATGTCTTTTCTGCCTGCCATACTCCCAAGTTACAGGCACCCAAATATTAGTTACAGGTTATTTTTTATTCATTTACCATTTGTGTCCAACTGATCCTTGAGAGGTTTAATTTTCTTTTGGAATATGCTTTTATCAGTAGTGATAGTGTACCTGACATTTATTATGCACCAGTTATCAATCTAGATCAGGAGCTGTCACGCTATGGCCCATTGTCCAGATGGCCTGCTGCCTTGTTTTTTGTATAGCCCACAAGAGAAGACTGAGTTTTACTTTTAAGTGGGAAACAAATTAAAAGAATCTCTTTTTGCTTTGAAAATTGTATGAAATTCAGATATCAGTATCGATAAATCAAACTTTATTGGGACACACCTGTGCCATTTGTTCACATATTGTTCGTGTCTGCTTTCATGGTAGGGTGGCAGAGTTGATTAGTTCCAGCAGAGACTACATATAGCCTGCAAACTCTGAATATATTGACTGTCAGATCCATTATAGACAGCTTACCAACTTTCAGTATTTTCAGGATTTCATATATATTCCATTATTTTCTGGATTCCATTTTTATTTATTTATTTTTTTAAATTATTTATTTTTATTTATTACATTTATTTATTGTGTGTGTGTGTGTGTGTGTGGCCAGCTCAGCCCACCAGGGGGCGGGTCTGGCTGGCATGTGGTGCTGGGGGATCGAACCGCGGTCCCTGTGCTTTGCCAAGCTTGTTTCAAGTAGGTGCTTTAGACCACTGAGCCATCTCTCCAGCCCTGGATTCCATTTTTAAATAGACTCATTTTTTATTGTGCTTTTGAAGGCAATGCTTCTACTTCTAGGATCTTAGCAGTTTTATTGTGCTTGGGAAGCTGAGGCAGGTGGATTGCCAGGAGTCTCAGGCCATCTTGGGCTACTGTAGCAAGACCCTGTCTCAGTTCTTTTTTTTTTTTTTCTTTGTATTGGGGATCAAATTCAGGACCTTGAGCTTGCCATGCAGGTGCTTACGCTGCTGAGCTATCTCCCCAGCAGCAGTTTTATTGTGATGTGCCTAAGTTTGAATTTTTTTTTTTTTTCTTATTCTACTTGGGGTTAGTGCTGTTTCTTGAATCTATGGCCTGATGTGAGCTGCTTTGGAAAATTCTCAGTCATTATTTCTTTAAATATTGTTTCTTTTCATTTATTTCTCTATGTTAGGCCTTTTAACTGATTCCCTGTATCTTTCAGGCTCTTTGACGCATTTGCCATTAATTATTCTTTCTGTGTTTCTCTGAAGTTTTTTACTGACATGTTTTCCAGTTCACCACTCACCTTTTTCTACTGTTTCTATGGCTTGGAAGGGCTACGGAGACCCTTCCTTGCGTATGATAATTTGTTTTGTAATTGAAAATACATCTTCTACCTTGAAATATTCTAAACTTGTGTAATATTGTTTGGTATCAGAAAAATCACTTACGTGAGCTTCATCACTGCACTATGGTAATGACGTAAATGCTGAATGTTTATGTACTTGTCTCCCCGAGCATACCTCGAGAGCACAGTGTTTTATTAATTTTAGATACTGATCAGCATGACAGTGCTAGAGACAAGGGCATCTGAATAAATGTCTTAACTATAAAAAAGTTTTGGAGATACACCAAGACAGAGCAAATAGGATGAACAGTTAGTGGTATATGTAAATATTGGTGGTGAATGACTTAAAGTACATATACAGAGTATAAGCTTTCTTATGTTCTTCATACATCACCAAAAGCTGAACATTTCAGAATGACCAACCATGTACCATTTCAGGTGTCAGTTTCATTCACGGATGTGACTGTGGACTTCACCCAGGAAGAGTGGGAGCAGCTGGACCCTTCTCAGAGGATTTTATACATGGATGTGATGCTGGAGAATTATAGCAACTTACTTTCAGTGGGTAAGAACAGCTTTTGGGTATACCTCCCTGTTTGCTTAGTACTAGTTATGTCCCTTTGTCAGTTACCAAAAATGATTAGCTTCTGTATTATTAAACGATGTTAGAGTCCATCTTCAGATGTTGAGGCTGAGTACAGCTTCTGAAGGCCTACCTTCTTGATTTTCAAGGTCCCTGTCTTGGTTACTCCTCTCTCATTGCTGGGACAAAATACCCAACACCCAAAATTAAGGAAGGAAAGGTATATTTATTTATTTAGAGCGGGGTCTACAGGGTGTTCAGGGTCTTAACTACTAGATCAGACTCCTAATGATCTGCCTGTTTACAGCCTCCCAAGAGCTGGGATTACAGGTGTGTGCCACCATACCCAGTCTCAACTGCCATCTCAGTGCACCCCAGGGGCAGGGCTAGCAGGCCCAGGGATAGAACCCCAGGCCCCTGTGCCTGCTTGCAGGCACTTTAATTAACTGAGCTATTTGGCTGGCCCTAGGAAAGGTTTATTTAGCCCACAGCTAGTGGAGGTTTCAATCCATATTCAGCTGGCTCCAAGGTGGAGCGGCACATGGCAGAGGGCAGCCTTTCATGGCAGCAAAAAATAGCAGAGAGCAAACAGAAAGGCAGCACCTGGATGCTAGCAAGCCTCTTGCTCCTCCTTACACTTGTATGTAGATTTCTCCTCCAGGCCACTCACACCCAGAATCCCAGCATTGGATCATGAATTAATTACAAACTGTAGAAGCTGCCCCATGATTGCATGAGACTTTCAGGGGACAGCTAGATACAAACTATGACATTTCCTTAAGTCCAAGAAATTAGGAGTTAGCAAAAAGAATACTAGATGTTATAGTTAGAATGGTTAATTCAGAAGTTCCTAGCAAAGATATGGAAAAGAGAAAATGGTATAGAAATCAGTAAAAGCAGCTCCAGTGATTCTGAGCATTCAGTACATTTGAATGAAGCCTATTTTTCAAATCCCACAACATTTGTTTATTTTTCAGTACTAGTACCCAAAACATTTAGAGGTGGCTGAGGACAAGTGACATGTACCTCTGATCTTAGCCACACCTCCAAATACCCAGCTTTCCTCGCTGATTTTTCCATTTGTAGATACCTTACACGGCTTAAGCCTTCATATTGTTAGTTGATCTTAAATTAGTATTCTCACTTTGCTGGAATGCTTTATTTCCTTTAATTTAATTTAATTATTTATTTATTTATATTTTAGGGAAGGATTTACAGGGTGTTCAGGGTCTCACTACTAGATCAGACTCATAGTGATTCTCCTGTTTACGCCTCCCAAGAGCTGGGGTTACAGGGGTGCACCACCATGCCCAGTCTCAATTGTCATCTCACTGTGCCCTGGGGGCGGGGCCAGTACAACAGGCCCCAGGGTCAAACCTCTGGCCCCTGCACCTGCTTGCAGGTGCTTTAATCTGCTGACCTATTTGACTGGCCCTTTAATTTTATTTTAAAGAGAAAACCAATGATACAGCATTTCAAAACAAAATAATAGTAAATTAACAATGGTTATTGCATATTGTTATCTTTAAAATAGTTGTTTAGATTATAAGATATGGGCATGCAAAATTGATCAAACAGTATAAGCACACACCATTTCTTTCAATGAGCTAATAAAATTAGTAGTGTAATTATCTTTTTTTTTTTTTTTTTTTTTTTTCCCTTTGTTGTTTTCTCCTTTCCTCCATTTCAGTTGTTCTTTTTGGGTAGCGTCTTTCCCTTTCACAATATCTGTTGTACATTTTCAATCTTATTTACTTTTTCAATTTCTTACACTAGGGAGTCAATAAGATGTTTACACATGTGAGTCTGATTTATTTCACTTAAGAGTTTGGTCTGTAGTTTCATCCATTTACCTATAAAAGCCTCGTGTTTATCCTTCTTTATAGCTGAGTAGGCTGCACTGTATAAAAATACCACATCTTTTTTTATCCATTCCATGGTTAATGGGCATTTAAGTTGTTTCCAAGATTTAGCTATTACAAATTGTGCTGCTATAAACATGGGTGTATATATATATATATATATATATATATATATTGCTGTGGTATGATATATTTTTTTTTCTTCTGGGAAAATATTCAGAAGGGGAATAGCTGGGTCAAATGGGACCTCTAATCCTAGTTTTTTTAGTAATTTCAAAGCTGATTTCCACAGTGCTCCATACCAGTCTACATTCCTACCAATATGGAGAAGGATTCCTTTTTCCCTACAGCCCTGCCAGTATTCGTTATTGGTTGATTTCTTGATACTAACCATTCTTCCTGGTGTGAGATGGAATTCAATGTTGTTTCAATTTGCATTTCTCAAATGACAAATGACATTTTTTTTGTATATTTATTTGCCATATCCTTTGGGAATTGTTGTCCCAGGTGAAATGGCAGCAGGATCATAAGAATTAGGAATAATAAATAACATATAAGATGAAAGTAAATGCTGGGTAATTTGATCTTTAAGATCTCTTCCGATAAAATCAAGGACATAATAAAAGGAAAAAAACAATATGATGTTAAGCTGGGCTCATGTATGCCTGTAATCCTGTCTACTCTGGATACTGAGGTAGAAGAATCACAGGTTCAAAGTCAGCCTCTGGGAACTCAGTAAGACCCTGTCTCAAAATAAGAATCAAAAAGAGCTGGGTAATGTAGTTCAGTGTTCCCTAAATTTAATCTCCTACACAGCAAAAAATTTTTAAAAAGATATATATATATATTTGTGTGTGTGTGTACATTATAAATAAATAAAAATAGTCACTAACAATTGCAATAGCCAACAACCGGTAAACCTAGCATCAGTGAGGCTTTTGTTAGGTTTGGATTTATTTTACATTTCTGACAGAATATGTATTTCTGGATCTTGCTCTTCATTTACAAATGAGAATTTAGATTATCCCTGCAAGACTATAAGAAATGCTGATTACGGAGTTTTTTTTCTTTGAATGAGAGAAGCAGTAGACTACTGCTGTTTGTACCACAATGCTCCAGAGTCAAGAGTGTCAGTCACTAACCTGATCTGCATTAGTCAGTTATGGCAAGCTGTGGTATGTGTGTCATAGCTGTTTGTATCTTGAAAGCTCTAAAAGATTCACCATCAGTAGCCTAGGTATTTGCACTTAACATCTTCAGCTACTTATTTTTTTGTTCTCTGTTTAATTGCTGAGTTTTTTTTAAGACACCGAATCTCCTTCATCCCTTGAATTCCTAGCCTTCTCATCTCATTTGTGCCCTTTTTAGTGATTTTTTAAAAAAAATGTATTTAATACAGGGTCTATGGGTTCTCACTATGTAGATTGGACTCAGAGAGAGCTGTGTGTTTTCAGCCTCCCAAGAGCTGGGATTACAGGCATGTGCCACCAATCCCTGGTCTCAGTCACCATCTCAGCACAGCCTGGGGATGGGGGCCAGCCTGGCTTGTGGTGTTGGGGATTGAAACCCGGTGCCTGCGCTTTGCCTAAGCAGGCACTTTAGTCTGCTGAGCTGTCTGGCCAGCCTTTTTATTTCTTCTTCTTCTTTTTTTTTTTTTTTTGTGGTACTGGGGTTTGAACTCAGTGTCTTGCACTTGCCAGGCAAGCACTATCTCCCCGGCTCTGGCTGGCCTTTTTAGTGATTTTTAATTTTTATTTATTTATTTATTGCAGTACCGGGGATTGAACTCAGGGCCTTGTGCTTGCAAGGCAGGCACTTATTCTACTGAGCTATCTCCCTGGCCCCTTTAGTGATTTTTTAAATTTCACTTTTTTCTCTCCACTTCAAGGTCGGTCATTTTGTTATCTGGCATTGTTACTTGTCAGTTTCTACTTTTTTGCCACAAGTTTTCATTTTTGTCTTTTGTTTTCAAAAGTCAAGAACTTAGAAAATTTTCTCTTGGGAATTTTTTAATACAGGGTGACTTGCTCTCAAACTAAAGAGTCAGCTGAAGAATAGAATATTATGGAGACTTTCTGTCCTATCACAATCAAGAAAAAGAATTAACAACATACATTTCATTAATTTCTATTCTAGAAGTGTGGAAGGCTGATGACCAAATGGAAAGGGAGCACAGAAATCCAGATGAACAGGCAAGGCAGTTTATGATCCTCAAGAACCAAACTGCACTTGAGGAAAGAGGTAATCTCTTTGGAAGAACGTTTACTCTGAACACAGACTTTGTTTCTTTAAGACAAGTGCCCTATAAATATGATTTATATGAAAAAACTTTGAAATATAATTCAGACATACTTCATAATAATAGAAGCTATCCAAGAAAAAAAGGTGATGAGTGCACCGGATTTGGAAAACCACTTCTGTATCTCAAGCAAGAAAAAACCCATCCTGGAGCAGAATATTCTGAGTATAATGAAAGTGGGAAAGCTCTTGGTCATAAAGAAGTCATTTTTAGACATCAGAAAATTAAGAACTTGGTTCAACCTTTTATTTGTAATTACTGTGATAAGGCCTTCCCCTTTAAGTCACTCCTCATTAGTCATAAGAGAATACACACTGGAGAAAAACCCTATGAATGTAATGTATGTAAGAAAACTTTCTCCCATAAGGCAAACCTCATCAAACATCAAAGAATTCACACTGGTGAAAAACCTTTTGAATGTCCTGAGTGTGGAAAAGCTTTCACCCACCAGTCAAACCTTATTGTACACCAGAGAGCACACATGGAGAAGAAGCCTTATGAGTGCAGTGACTGTGGAAAGACATTTGCTCAGAAGTTTGAACTCACCACACACCAGAGAATTCATACTGGAGAACGACCTTATGAGTGTAATGAATGTGCAAAAACCTTCTTTAAGAAATCAAACCTCATTATACATCAGAAAATTCACACAGGGGAGAAACGCTATGAATGTAGTGAATGTGGAAAATCTTTTATCCAGAACTCACAGCTCATCATACACATGAGAACTCATACAGGAGAGAAACCCTATGAATGTACTGAGTGTGGCAAAACTTTTAGCCAGAGGTCAACACTTAGATTACATTTGAGAATCCATACTGGAGAGAAACCATATGAGTGTACTGAATGTGGAAAGGCCTTCAGCAGAAAGTCTCGACTCAGTGTCCATCAGAGAGTTCACATTGGGGATAGGCCCTGAGACTGCTGTGTTGTGCTACTATGAAAACTCTTCAGAATTCCTCCAGTGAAGAAAAACAAGCATTGAAATTTGTACCAGAATACAAACTTGCCAGTCAAAAGTGTATAAAAAAAAAGTGTTGCATATAGAATACATTATATTGGAAAATAGATATGATATCCAGCTAAAGTATACACATCAGAATATACCCAATTGTAAATAGATATACCCAGCTATATTACAACGAACTTTTTTTGTTTTTGTAGCACTGGGGATCAAACCCAGTCTCTTGCCTGTGCTGGGCAAGTGCTCTTCCACAGAGCTATACCAGCCCACAATGAGCTTTTTAAAGTCCTGAATGAACTGAATATTCTGGGCAGCAGGATAAAGCATATATAAATAATACCTTAGGAATTTATCTGTGAGAGTATGCCACGAAACACAAATTATGTTTTAAATCTATATTTGTGAATTTAACAGTCATTGGGAATTTGAAATTGTTGTCTTCTGTGATAATTAGGATATAACAAATAAGATTTTCTGTACTACAGTAAACATCTTGCTTGTTTCAGTACCTTTCCAACCCAGTATGGGTTCCAAATGAAATATGTAACATTTTATTGTACCCGGGATCAAACTTAGGGCCTTGTGCTTGCCAGGCAAGCATTTATGCCACTGAGCCATCTCCCTGGCTGAAATATGTAACATTTTAGAGTGACACAGAGCTGATTGTTTTCTTGTATTGCTTGCTGGCATATATAAGTTGGTATGACCATTGTTGTGAGCCTCTTTGCTAAAGAGAAGACAGTATTGTTGGAATCTTAACCTGATTCTTGCTTTGAAGATTTTCTAGAAATATTATTTATATAAATATGCAAGTGTTAGATAGCTAAGAGATCAGTGAAGAGACAGATGTGACCATGTTACTCAGTATGTATTGCAGAATAAAAGTGTGCCATGCAAGCTGAGCATGGTGGCAAATATCTGTAATCCCAGCACTTGGGAGGCAGAGGCAGGAAAGATCATTGTGAATTTGAGACCAGCCTGGGCTGCAAAGTGAGTTCAAGGCCAGCCTGAACTGCATAGCAAGAGCCTGTCTCAAAAGGCAAAAAACAAAAAGAAAGTATGCCATGCAAAGAGAGTATCATCCATTATGCTCTTGTTTTCCATGGGTATTAATATTCAAATGCATGTGTATTTCCAAAGGATTGTGTAAGTCAGAAACCACCTGTATTTTTGTGTGTGTCCATGGTTCTTTAATACTTCATAAATTGTCTTGCAAAAAGTCATATGATACTTATGTACCTCACAAATGCTAGTTACATTTCAGAGAACTTAGAGGAAAAAAATAATTTATTTTAAGAAAGGTATAAAGAATTCTCTGTTTTGCTTTTTACAGTTTCTAGGTGCATAATCCCCTTTAGAGATAAATTTTTGTAGTATTCTAAACAGAATAATAAACATTCTATGTATTTTTTTTTTAATGCCAGGAATCAAACTCATGACTTTGTTTCTGCCAGGTTGGCATTGTGCTGCTAAGCTATATCCCCAGCCCAGTATTCTGTTTAAAAGAAGAATCTTTACCTCCTTGAGTTTCATCTTCATCAATTTAAAATTTTTCCTTTGTGACCTGACTTACCATAAATTAATTACCTTTTCTTTCATAGTCACACTTTGTAAGTTAGATTTTTCTGTGGTCTCTTCATATGCTGTGATGATTAATATTACAGTTATCCTTTTTACATAACTGCAGTGTACCATTTTAGCTTTGTTTTTAAATATACACGTGTAGCCTCTTAATAACAAATCATGCAGTGGAATTATAAATGGAAAGCAGAACTGTGTTATTATTTTTTAAAATCTCTGATGTGATTTGACTCTATATGATTGTGAATGACTTTCTGGAAAAGTATACTAGGACATCTGTAGCCCAGCAAATTTTTGTCTTTCTCAGTTAGGATCTTGCCTATTAATGGCAAGGAAGCAGGGAGAAATAGTTACTTTCAACATTGCTGTTGGAAGTGTAAATTGGAACAGCCTTCTTGTAAAATATTGAGTCTGTCTTTTAAATAAGATA